TTTCTTCTTAGGAATTCAAAAGGTCAAACACACCGACGCCATCCGGAGAGGATTCTAGGAACAAGGTGAGTTTTTTTTCAGTTGTTTTTTTCTCGAAAAAAGTGTAATGGAGTTTATTTAGAGTCTGAATGTAAAACTAGAGTAAATATTGTAAACTTAATGTTCCGCTTGAAACATAATTTTTTGTTAAAATCAGAAAAAAATAGTAGTGACCAGAATAAATTTCACTGATTTGACTATCTCAGTGAGTCTGTTTTATTAATTTTTTTATAAAAGTACACAAACTATAAACTATTAGAATAAATTTCCTTCAATTGTTCGTATTGACTTTTTCAATGAACCTTTGTTTTAATACAAAAATTAGTAGAATAGCACTCACATGGTAATGAAAAAGTCGAGCTGTAAATCAAAAAGATGGGAAAATTGTTTTGAAGTTATATTAGCAATCATATTGATCTACATTCTTGGATTCTCGCTTTGTTGTCATATTGAAATTGAGAAAATATGCTGGGCCTACCTTCTCCAAATTATTTTTTAAAAATACGCTTCTCTGGCTCAGGTAGTTTTCGTAATTATTCACAATGACTGAATTTATATACCTTTTCTAGGAAAATGTTGGAAATTGGACTATTCACTAAATAATCAGAATGGATTTTCAATATTGTTAAAATGAAATCTAGAAAATGTGAAACACTGTGTTTTTTTAAAATTTTTTTGCGTTCCAGCCAAAGTAAAAGAAAACTTTTCTAGGTATTTTTTTCCTAAAAGTTTTTTACATAAACTATTGTGTTTTATTCATAAAATAATTTTTTGTGGAAATCAGAATCTACTAGCTCAGGAAATAATGTTCCGTATACTTTTTTCAATGGTCCCCATTTTCTCCAAATAACTTTTTTTGAAATATACTTTTCTGTTTCAGTTACTTTTCTTGATTCTTGAGAACAATTTTCAAACACTTTTCTTTTTATTTTGATCTGCATAATTCTGTTAATCCCATTTTTGTTTAGCCATACTGAGATTCTACGGTGTTTAAAGTTTAAAAAGTGCAATTACTAGTGTTTCCGGAATTTCAGTATTTCTCACAATTCCTAGAACATCTATCAACATTTTTTTTTCATTCAAATGTGCAGCTTATGATTATGACCTAGTATTTAAATGTTAAGTTTGAACCAAATTAACATTTAAATACTAGGTCATAATCAGAGAAACTGAATTCATACATTAACATGTTTTAACTTTTCGAAATACTTGATTTAACAATTTCAATAATACTCATCGAACTCATCGAAATAATAATACTCATCGAAATACGACTTGTAAGCGAAACTGGAAAATTTTAAGTTTTTTCGAAAGGTAATATTTCTCTGTATCAACATTGTCACTTCTTCAAAACCAAAATAACCACCTCGGTACCGCGATAGGTCCATACTACTCAAACTTGAAATATTAAAATTCTCAGCTTAACATTATCCACATTTCCATATATTAGGTTGGTAAAAAAGTTTCTTCCTTTTTGGGAGGGTTCTTTCTGAGCTTCGGTTTCTAGTTATCAAAGTGGCGTACCAGGCCAGATTTTTTTTTGCTGGAGAGCTGTGTTCAGTGTCTATTAGATCCTTGATTTTCTAATTTTTATCTCACTTCGTGTTGGAGAAATGACGATTCTTTTGGTCCATATCCCAATGTACATAAGCAACATGCCTATACTTTTATTTTTATTTGGTCTTCAAAAACCCGTTATTCACAAGCAATTGGTGAAGTTATATAAGGGACGTGTTCGGTCATCGCCTACAGTTTGCCTTTGGTTCAAAAAATTTCGCATATGGGAGAACCGGTTAAAAGATGCCAACGGCCCAGTGAGTTGGATCTCGATCAATTGCTAAAAGTCATGAAGTCGCATTCACTTCAAACAACTTGTAAAATCTCAAAGGCATTGTCGGTTAGCCAACTAAGTGTTGTGAACAGATTGAAGTATTTTGGCAACTTCAAGAACTGGATCGATTCTTACCCCATGCTTTGAAGGACTACGATATGGCTTTGAAGGACTACGATATTCCAAGTGGACATGAGCATGTTTCTCCTATCATTCCTTCGCACGTTCAGTTAGGTGGGGGATCTAATTACCGTAGATGATAAATGGGTAAGTTACTCTATTAATGTGTGGAAAGGTCAGTTGATTGCCAAAGAACAGCTAGCTCTGGACGTCTCGAAACCTAAATTTTACGTGAAAACGGGGATGCTATGTATTTGGTGGTTTTTCAATGGGATGGAGTCTGGGAACTTTTAGATGAAGGTACCACTATAACTGCCGCATTGTATAGTTTCTAATTGGAGAAGTTGAATTTGACAGCCGAATCAAAACGAGGGGAAAAAACGAAAGTCCGCTTCCAGCGCGACAATGCGAGACCACCTGTGACTAGAGGAAGGCTCTTGAACGTCATCTTCATAGAAAATACTTCAATTGAAAAGTTGACACAAAAAAAGGAGTTGACCCACATTTTCAATCGCAGCTCTCGTCGTTCAGGTCCGATGTCATCAAGAAATTACCAGAGCGTTACCAGACAACTCACAATGCTCATGGACGTTACTTTCATTGATCTTGCCCCCTCTGCTTTTAGGAAAATCTGATCAAAAATTTTGCCAAAAAAGGAAGAAACTTTCTTACCAACCTAATAGTTTAACCAACCAGAAAAGGAGGCTAGAAAAAAACAAAGCAGCCCAACCCTTTTTATTGTTTTTTTTTTCTTTCCAAAAGCAACATGTTCTCTTTCTTGTTCTTCTCATAATATGCCCCCGGGTGAGAAAAATATGAAAATGGCTGGAACAAGAAAAAAGAGAACGAAAAAAAAGCCGCGCCTCCTTTTTACACCAAAAGCGGCAGTTTTGATATAGAAGTTTCTGGAAACTTTCAGCTTCTTCTTCCCCTATGGACCCTTTTTTCTTCTTTATCTTTTCTTTTTTTCTTCGAGTTAGGGGTAGGGAGGTCATGAGTAGATATATTGTAACAGGAAACAAATGGAGCAAGAAAAATGAAATTTCCTGTAGGATCCTTTTTTCTGTTGACATTGTTTCGATTTCATTTTGAAGAAGAAGTCACATGGGATGACATCGTCACAGAATTTTTTTTGGATTACTGTAGTTTTTGTTGAAAAAGTTACAACATAAACTTTTTCTCTTTCAGTTATAGCAGAAAACAGTGAAAAAAGAAAAGCAATATTGTTACAAAAATCAACGGAAAAACCAGATTTTTATACATATTTTTAGAATGTTTTTAGAATTTCCGTTAAATTTTTCTCTGTTTCAATTGGAGCAGAATGAAGAACGTTTTAACTGATTTATCGATATTTGTAGGTTTTTCTTTAGTTTATCACTATTAGAAATTCAAATTTTTATTCTGTGAAAATTTCAATCAAAGTAACCACTAAATATAAAAAAGAGTTCTAGGAACTTCCAGAAATAAATTACTCTGGTCTTTATGATACGAAATGATTTTCTTTTTGAAATTAAAACCAATGTTTTTTTTTTTCTGTTTAAGTTGTAGCAGAATTGAAATTACAGTTTTGTTAACTGATGACGTGGCGTTTTTGACGATATCCTGAAAAATATACAAATTTTCAGGGAATTTTATTAATGAAATTTCCAATTTTGTAATATAGAAAACTTGTGTGAAACAGATTTTTTAACTTGAAGTTCTTCATTTTTGAAATTGATTTATTTTTTGAAATTCCACCCAAAAATAACATTGACTGAATTTCGGAATCTCCATTTTTCTATAGAAACTGCAAATCTTGGCGATTTCCAGGAGTGATAAATTTAGGAAAACATTGAAAAAACATAATATTCCGACTGGAATTTATAGCTTATCGTCAGTTTGATCGGTTTCAACAGTTTTGCTCGCAATAAAATAGTTATTTGAAACTGCACTCTTTTTCTGTGTTTTTCGAAAAAAAAAAGTTAAATATTATTCATGAAGCTGTTTAGAAAACTTCTGTGCCCCTCTTTAAAATTTTCTAAATTCCTGAAAAAGATCATTGTTTTATTTTTTATCACTGTTTCAAAGTGTTGATAAGAGTAGTGGTCCAAGCTACTGTTTGGCTTGCAGGAAAATTTTCTCCATGAAAATCGAAAGTCTAGAAATGTTTTCAGTACTAAATTTCAAACGAAAAAAAAATAAAATAAAGCTAGCTTCTTCAACTTTTTTGAGAGAATTCGAAAAAAAACTGTTTCACTGATTTCATAGATAACTGTTCCATTCACCGAAATCCAATTCTATGAGGGTTTTGAAATTTAAGAATGAGAACTTTATCGTAAGCTGTCTTCTGTTGTTATGTGCATACAGCAAAGCTCCGACCACAAAATAGTTCCCGATGCGGTTTTACAATCCAGAAACTGACAATTTTTTCAAAATTTATATATTTCGCGTTATCATTTTTTTTAAGTTTTTGACATTTTGATAAATTTTAAGAAATTTTATATTTAATTGGCCATGATCAAATTCTGGAACCTTTTTTCGCCTTTGTCAAAAATTTGTCTGTTTCGCGAAGTTTTAAAGGTAGGGGGACAGGAGATTTTTCGTAGGATTTTTGTAGCCAGAGTATGCCTTTTACCGTGGCGGTGTACAACGCTTAATGTCACTCTGCGTACAGCGGTCATCCTCGCCTTTATGTATGCATTTTGGTGCCGGCTGCCTCTTTGCCCGCGTGGCTCAGTCGGTAGCGGCGCCGCACCTTCAATACTTGTCTCGACAAGTTCAACTCCTCCAGGGGCATATTTAAACGGAATTTCGAGAACATTATATGAGGGATCCAATTAACCAGTTGCGCAATTTTTAAGCCTTTCATCTCATTTAGATGAAACTGTACAAAAAAAGTTGTCAACTACAAAATTGAAGTTCTATTTTGTGTAGTATACTCTGAAATTTTCAGACAAATCGAAAATTTTCTAAGTACTTTTGTAGGACTTCAAAGTTCATTATTTTATACGGAAAAAGATAACATTTGATTGTGAGATACTGTAGTTTTTAATGACACTATTTGGTCATTACTCGTGTTCGAAATGGACGTAGAGGCAAACAATCATCAAAATAGGCTCAAACAATACAGTAGTTCGCACTTGCACATTTCACAGGACCATCGTTTTCCATGTGCATTGATGGCCGAAGCCTACAGTAATAAAACTGTTAGAAAAAAGTCACACCTGTCACTAACAATATGACCTGCTTGCCATAATTTTACTGTTTAACTGGGTCATAAGAAATAACAAACTAACTTTCTCGTCACTGCAAGGTAAATCGAATTTCTCCCAGCGTATCTCTATTTACAAATTTGAAAATTCCGATTCTATACCACCACCCCCACTTTGCACCCACCAGCTCCGTGCAGAACCTCAAAACTTTCTATATTCGTCGTCAAATCTATAACATCCTCTCCTCTTCGTCTTCTCTGAATTCCTCTCTCTTCGTCACCAAAATCAAGAATAGAAGTCAATGAAGTCGGGCGGTCCCTCTCTCGTCCGTAACTCAATTCAATTCTTGCCTTCTGACCTTCCTCCTCCTCCTCCGACGTCTTCTTCTACTTCATTTTCCTCACCATACACTGTGTTCTTCTTTTATATTCTGAACAACGTCTTTTTTTTTCTTGTTCGTCTGAATCAGATTCTGAAACCTTCAGACGACGGATACTCAGAAGAAGGAGGAGGTGTGTGACGCATCATGACACGATGGGTAAGGGAAAAACAACCACCTTTTTTTGGAATGTGGACAGAGATTTGTTGTCATTCTTTGAAGGTCCAAAAATAGGATTTAATGGTGTCAAAATCGTACCCGCTAAGTCAGCAGCCGACTTCTCGATCATATATTTCAAAATATCGTTGCAATACTGGCTTAACTAAATTCAGACTCCTATGAACGTGCTTAGTGAAACATAAATTTTTGATAATTCCGGTCTAACCTTTTTTGGCTTTCCTAGATTAATTTTTAAAACAATTGAATCAACTGGTATTCATATTGTAATACCTGTACTAGAAAGGTCACTAACGTCAACCCAATTTATCTTGCTTCTTGAACATTTTTCGTTGTTTCAAACTTTCCAGATATTTTGTAACCTAATCATTTTTTGATTCACCAATAATGGTCAAGAACTGAATAATCAAAAATTAGCAGATCCTGTTACTTCGAAAGTCATCTATTTTCATCACTTGAAAATCAAAAATTTCGGATTTCCTAAAAAATGCTATTGCAGCGCGTAGCAGAAGATGTGAGGTTTTCCAGTTTTTGTACACACATTCGGACTGCTAAAACACATCTAAATATGTTAACCATCAGACTCTGAACGGCTTTTCTAAAATCTCTTCCATAATAAACACAGAAAAAATTTCAATAATAGAATCCGGCGATATTTGCAAAAATCACTTCATTTGTTTAGTTTGTCTTTGAAGAGGCTGAAAGGTCAACGATTTTGAAAGAACTTCTAGCAATAGAGCGGGTTTGCATCTTCCCGTCTCTTAATTTGCTCTCTCTCGGCGCAGGTTTCAAATAGATTTTCAGCCGAAGCTCTCAAAAATCAAGCAAAATCTATTTACTACATTTTGTACGAATCCTTGTAATCTACAGAATTCAATTCTAAAAAAGTTCTTGTAATATTGAATAACTGAAACAGTTCCTGATAATCATGTCCCTTTAACCAACCATCAATTTTTCAGATGAGTCATCCCGGCTGGGTGATGGTCTCATTCCTCACCGAACTTCTATCTCAATCATCCAAAGGAATCGCCCAATCACTGGATAATTGTGCGAATGACACCGAAATTATCAATGCATTGCTCAAGGATAGCTATAATAAGGTACGGTGAACATGAGTGAAAAATTAATTATTTTTGGGTGGGAGGGAATTCAAATAGAGGTGTTGAAACAGGGAGTTTTCAAAGCTTTTTCGTTTCGAAGTTTGTTTTATTGAAAAAAAAACCGGCTGAAAGCCAATAATATTGAAAGAGGCGGAAACTCTTGAAGCTTTTGAAACGGAAAATAGTTTTTCCATTTAAAAACAGTTGAAAAGTTGATTTTCAGCACTACATCCCATCTCATCCCACACACGTCCGCGTCGATATGTGGGTCCAGGAAGTGACATCTGTTTCAGAACTAACACAAGATTTTGAAATTGGTAATGCATTACTTTTGTTACTTTTCATACAGTTATTTCCAGACCTCTACATCAACGAATTCTGGGAAGATCCGGCGCTTGTCTACGAGGATATGAATCCGTGTAAAAGGAATATCTCATTCGACGATAAGGTTTTGCAGAGGCTTTGGATTCCGAACACTTGTTTTATCAACTCGAAAAATGCAGCGATTCATGAGTCACCGTTTCGGTAAGGTATTAGCATAAAGGAGTAGAGATTTTGAAATCAAAAAAAAACAAGGAAATTTCCAGAAACGTCTTCCTAATGGTATTCTCGAATGGAACCCTTTGGACAAACTATCGAATGAAACTGACTGGTCCTTGTGATATGAAGTTGAAGAGATTTCCGTTTGATAAGCAGAAATGTTATCTCACTTTTGAGTCGTGAGTTATAGAAATTTCAAAAACCAAACAGAGCAATGTAGAGCTCGATGAGATCTGAAAAATTATACCTAATTCGGCGGAGCTAAGAAAATCAAAGTTCCCTTTAAAACTAAACAGTTTTCATTAATTTTGGACGCCGTTGAATGAAGTTATGCACTTTTAAAGCTGTTGTGAAGACGAATATTAAAGGTAAAGTATTAACTGCAACAACAGAATAGCGAATTATACAGTAAATCTAAAACAGCATTCTTTTTTCAGATTCAACTACAACACTGGAGAAGTTCGAATGTCGTGGAATCAACCGTACCCAGTGATTTTGTTGAAAAGGATAGATCTGCCGGATTTCAAACTAGTCAACTTCAGTGTCATTGCAGTAGAACAGGTTTGTTTGAAATCTCGATTACCGTAAAACCTCTAATAGAACGACACCCGGATCGTTCACTTTGAGCCGATATATCTCATTTTCTGTGAAAGATATCAAAAAGTGGCTGACTAGTAAAATGTTGCTGATATCCTGATAAACATTTTACTAGTTAACCACTTTTTGATATCTTTCAAAAGAAGTGAGATATATAGGCTCAAAGTGGACGATCCGGGTGTCGTTCTATTAGAGGTTTTACGGTATCTATGTTCTCATAAGAGATATAAAAAAATCTGTCAACTGATAAAATGTTTGTGATAGCACCGACATTTTTATAGTTCACACATTTTTGACAGCTTTTATAGTAACCGAGATAATTTAGCTCAAAGTGCAAGTATAGGATGGCGTTTCTATTGGAGCGTGGTTTCTCGGCTGTTGCCCGCAACTTTTAAGTTGAATTTAAGCGGCTTCTGGGCTGTGACACGCGGATGTCGCTTTAGTTTTCTGTAGAAGCCGCCCAGTGACAGCTCTAAAGACGCCACGCCTACGCTCAAGATTCGCGTAGCTCACATGAAATCTGGTTATAGGCTCTAAAAAATCTGAAATTTCTCTCCAAATCAATTTTATAAACTTGATTTATTTTTAAAAACCAATAGCTAACAGAAGAAAAAAAAGAATAAACAGAATAACAAAAAAAGATTGTCTGTTAGATTTGCGTTGAATAATGATGTGGGTAGGGTAGGCAGTAGTTGTCACTTGGATGCTCTGAAAAAACTACGAAGTTAATTGTATTGATTATATTGTCGCTTACCAATAAGGTCTGTCAGATGAAAGTCGGGACATCATCACACAAGACACGCTGGTGAGAAGTTGGCCCGGAAAACCAACTTTACGTTCTTGTTCAACGCATATCGACCATCTATCTGCTTTTCGAACATCACCGATCCCTCAGATGGCATGTACTGAAACTCATAACAAATTGAACGGATGAGTCCACAACGAGCGAGAACGATCGGGTCGATGTGGACGATGTACTTGCCGTTGCCGCCGATTAGGCTGTCCGGTTTGCATACGTATTGGATTGATGAGCCGAAGGAGAGTCCTTCTCGTTTGGATCGTTGATCAGAACGATGCTGGAATTTGGAGTTTAGGTTTCGAAGGATCTAGGGGTTTGAGGTTCTAAGGATCTTGGAATCTAGGGATTCTGAGGATCTTTGAACCAAAAGCTCCTCCCCACTTACCACGCTATCAGATTGCTCTGATTGACCATAGTGACGAGTCATATCGTAGTATTCTCGGTTACAAAACTCGGAAATCTCTCGGCACAGCGGTGAGCATTGTCGTTCCGGGCGTGACCTAAAAGGTTTTTTTATTTTTAGAACAGAAACGACAAGGAAAATGATATGAATTACGCTAAAATAGGAAAAAACGGATAAAGTTTGATTTCGAAAAGAAATTCTACTGCACGCAACGCGAGGCACGCGTCGCCTTTAAAATTCGCCCAAACATCGCCTAAGATTCGCCAAGGTGGTGGTGGTCGGCGCAGCTGCCATAGATCTAGGAGCTTCCGGTTAAAAGCCGCCCAAATAACGCTCTAAAGCCGCATCCACCCCTGTTTGTGCCCTAAAGACATATACCAGATGATGGAAACAGAAAATTTATTCATAATAATTCAGATGTACCCAGCTGGTTGGTGGGACGAATTGACAGTGGCGTTTGTGTTCCAGAGAAGATATGGATGGTATGTTCTGCAGGGATACATCCCAACTATGGTCACAATTGTCATTTCATGGATTTCGTTCTATTTGGGACCGAGGTAAGTTGTCTTAAGACTCTGGTTTATTGGTCTTAAAATATACGATAAAATAATGCTAAAAGTTATGTATAACTTTCATATTTCCTTCTTGTAACAGGTTTTATGTTGGCCGTAATGCACCTAACTTTACTGACTCAATCTAATAGTGATGAAACAGAAAAACGAATTTGAAGTCACTCCAAGGATAAAACTAAGAATACATCATCTAGACGTTTCCAAAATCTGTATTCCTATTTCCGATACATAAAAAAAAGAGGTGCAAGAAATAATGTAAAGACAACTCGTCAGGGTTTTGAAGATAGTGAAATAATCGCAGCATAGACCGCATGGAAAATAATGAAATTGATAACTGACCATTTTTATAAGGCAACTATTTGAAACTGAAAAGGTTTGAAAATTTTGGGAAGCTTTCTTTTTTTTATATTGGGTTTCAGTTAGCCTTCCAACTTGCTAAACTTTTTGTACGGCCTAACAACCTAGACCGTACTATGGTTACTGTATTCGAAGGGGGGTGCAACCGTTTTACGATCCTGAAAGTACAGTAACCGTAACTCGTGCCGCGCTTATTTATGCCGTTGCTCAACTAAATTCTCGACCTCGTAGCTCAAACCACGACACATGTAACGACTCCTTTGGGTAAATGAAACACACAAATTTCAACTTCCGAATTATTTGGCCCATTTGAAACAAAAAATTTCTAGGTTCCAAAAGCTTTGACATTCGACAGTGCAAGGTTCTATTTGAGCTCAATTATCTCGGTTCCTGTGAGAGATATCAAAAATATGTCAACTTAAAAAACTTTCATCATAATATCATCAATATTTTATCAGTTAGCCACTTTCCAATCTCTTTTGAGGACCGATAGGATTGAGCTCAAATTACAGTACTCATATCCAATCTTCCAGAGCAATCCCAGCACGAACAATGTTGGGTGTGAACTCTCTTCTTGCGATGACATTCCAATTTGGAAACATCATTCGAAACCTGCCACGTGTCTCGTATGTGAAAGCCATCGATGTTTGGATGCTCTCCGGAATGCTATTCATTTTCTTATCACTTTTGGAGTTGGCAGTCGTTGGATTCATGTCCCGGAATGAGGGTTTACCTCCAAAAGTATGTTTTGAAAAAAAATATTACCAATGGACCAAAAATTTTCAATAATTCTTCCATGCTTCACGTTTCTAGCATTTCCAAGGACCGAAATATAGCGATTTGAAGTGTGGGAGATTAGAGACGCAGAGAACGAGATACTCTCGCTGTCTGCGTCTCTCCGAAGTTCTGCCTAGTTGAAAATCGACTTTTAAATAAGTTATGGAAATGACTATTGGATCGCTGTGATTTTTTTTCTGCTAGATAATATAGTCTTGAAACTGTGGAAACTGTAACAGAAGGTCCTTTTTTTGACCCAATTTAACTCGTTTTCTGTGAATGATATCAAAAAGTAGTCAACTGAAAAATTGTTTGAGATATTATAACCAATACTTTGTCCGTAGACAACTTCTTGGCATCTTTCACAGGAGCCGAGGTAACTCGGGTCAAAGTAGGCTAGTCCTTCTATTATACGTATCAAAATCTGAAGCAGACAAATAATTGCAGTTTCAAATAGATCTTAAATTTTTGAGATGTTAAACTAAAGCTAGTACACTGAAGCTTCTCTTTACCGTTCGAAATTTTCAGGTCAAAAAACGAAAACGACAAGAAGAAGATGACGAGGGATTCTCGTGGAAGAGTATGCAGACAAGCCCTCATTTAGAATTAAGACAGGTAAAGAGAAAAATGGACCTGTCTAAAAAAAGAAAAGAAAACTTCCAGTTTTGGGTGGACAAACGAGTCAATTCGTTGAGGAATGATAGTGGAGTACCTCCAGTGGAAGATTATGTGAGTTCTCTTTATTTCTCTCTCTCTCTCTCTCTCTCTCTCTCTCTCTCTCTCTCTCTCTCTCTCTCTCTCTCTCTCTCTCTCTCTCTCTCTCTCTCTCTCTCTCTCTCTCTCTCTCTCTCTCTCTCTCTCTCTTCCTCTCTCTCTCTCTCGCTCGCTCACTCACTGACTATAACCCAATCAAATAATGTTTTTTCAAGAATTCAATACAGAAATGATTACTCTGTAACTGTAACTGTAATAATTTGCAGGCACCAATGGAACTTGAACAGCCGTATCAGAATATTTCAAAACGAAGGGAAAAACAAAAATGGTTCAGTGGGCTCAGGAAAAAATGGAGAGCTCTTAAGGATTTACGTCCTGAAACTGTGGATTTTTATAGGTTAGTATCACTTTTTTAATGAATGAAACTTGAAAAATATAATTTTCCAACAGATATCAGGTTGTAAAAAATTGAAACCTATTAAATTTTTTCAAACTTTACCATTTCAATGAAACTGGAAATATTGCTCATATTTTGAATTTGTTAATGCATATTTCATTTTTCAGTGCAATATTCTTCCCAACGGCGTATATGCTTTTCAACATTTCGTAAGTCTCTTTTTTTTTCAAATTTTTCAAATTAAAAATCGCAAACTTTTGCAGATACTGGAGTTTCTACCTGACAAGTCTTTCCGAGTATTTCGATGAGGATGTGAATCTGGAACAACCATAAAAAATCTTGAAATTTTATATATTTCTCAAATATCATCCTTCGAATCAATCAAATCCCTCCCTTCGTCTTTTTTCTATGTGACAAATTGTTTGAATTATTTCACTTAATGATTTTTCTTTTTGAAAATTTTTATAAATCTTCATATTCAAGTTTTCTTCGTGCAAATTTGGTTGAAAATCCAAGCTCAATTATCTCAAATTCTGTAAGAGATATCCAAGTTTCATCAACTGATAAAATGTATCATGACAAAAATTTTGTTCATTGACCATTTTTGGATATTATTTACAGAAACTGATTGTGAGATAAAGGGGTCAAAAAAGTGGCTATTAAAAATAATTTGCTGTAGTTTCGAGATTTTGTTTTATGAGACAAACTTTAAAATTGTCAAAACTAATAAGCATGATTTTTTTTATTTTTAAGCATAGGATTTCGTAACAAAAGGATTCATAACAATAGGAAATTTTACTGTTTTAGATTTTCTAAATATTCTGTAACCGAATAATTTTTTGATAATTTGTTGCCGGCTTGTGCATAGTTAAAATTGTTATTATTATAACCACCTAGTTTGCCTCCGGTGCTACAAACTGCTGACTGGTGCATCTTCGGTGCGATTTAACCTAGAGAAAAGAGATGCAACTTCATTTATTTATTATAAGAATGATTTTAGTCAAAGTTCTAAAAAATATGGTGAAATCCATCAATTCAATTCTTTCTTATTTTCAGTCCGAACCATCAGAAGCGCTCCGAATGATCCTGTTTCCCGTAGATCATCTCACATCATGAAGTGTCTGATTTCAGTTCCAACACTTGAACAGATTATCTTGAATTTCATGGCAGATTTCTTCAAAACACCACATTCTTTCTAGATCCTCCACCAGCATTTTCTATTGCTCCTAATCCAGTTCCACCTTCATTATGTGCTCCTGGCTCCAGATGTAGCATTGGTGGTTCCGGTCGATGCACCATGTTACAGCGAAACGTAGATCCATGGAGCGATCAAGATCCATCTCCATGCGGACCTAGGACCGGGGCTCCAGTATCAGGAGCTCCAGACCCCGGGCTCCAGCACCAAGGCACCAGACCCCGGGATCTTTGTCCCGGAGCCCTTCCCCTCTCTGGATTCCAGAGAAAGGTAGAACTGATTCTTCCCTCCACTTCCCTCTTCTTTTATAGTACTTTTCCATGGGTCAATGGGACATCAAGGGTTATTGCTTTTTTACGTCGCTGTTTTGGTTGAGAATTTGAATTTTTGGAAAACTTTTTATTGCAATTTTTGATTTCTTATATAATTTTTTTTCGTCACGTTTGAATAATACTTGAATTTTTTCTTCTGAAATCTGTGAAACTCCTCGAAAAAATTGTCTGCTGGAACCTAATTATCTCGTTTCTTGTTTGAGATATCAAGAAATGTTTAACTGATAATATCTTTCTGATGTTGACTGAAAACTTTAAAAATCCTTTAAAAAAATTGCAGTCTTCCGTTATTTGGGATTTTTCCGTAACTTTCGACTTTGAGTCAATGCCTCTCGGTTTCTGTGACGATATCAAAAAATAGTAAACTGGCGAAATATTTTTGATATTATAATAAGCATTTTGCCAGTGTATTGCTTTTTCCAAAAGATGAATCTCATCAAACTTTTCGAGAATTCCAAATGGAAATGAGTATTCCGAAACTGAAATAATTTTTCAGGCACCAATGGAACTTGAACAACCGTATCAGAATATTTCAAGACGAAGAGAAAAGCAAAAATTGCTTAAAGTTGGGGGGACATGAAAAAAATAATGTTCTCGATATTTCGTTTAAATATGCCCCTCGAGGAGTTGAACTTGTTGGGGCAATGATTGAGGGTGCGGCGCCGCTACCGACTGAGCCACGCGGGCAAAGAGAAACCGCACGCCCGATTGCATACATAAAGGCGAGGACGACAGCTGTACGCAGAGTGACATTAAGCGTTGTACACCGTCACGGTAGAATGCATACTCTGGCCCCAAAAATCCCCCGTAAAATCTCCTGTCCCCCCACCTTTAAGTGGGTTGAGGAAAAAATGGAGGGCTCTCAAGGATTTACGGCCTGAAACTGTGAATTTCCATAGGTAAGGATTACTATTTTTGGATCAAGTAAAGTCGAGAACTCGCAGTTTTCCAATGATTGCAAGTTATCTAGAAAACCCTGAAAAATTGAAATTTCATGAAAACCCGGAAAGTTATAAATTTCTGAAAAATTGTAGTTTTCTAAAATGTCCATGTTCTCTTTTTCAGATAATATGGCTGCTTAATTGCCAAAATTTTAACGAAATTGAAAAACAGTAAAATTTCCTACATTTGTTTAAAAGAAAACTTTCACAAAACGCGATGAAAATCAAGGATATAAGAAGTAGCGATTTTCAAAATTTTTAATTCTCGAAGGAATAAACAAAAATGGTCCAAATTTCTGTAATTCGTCACAGAAAATATTAAACTACTGATAAATGTCATAATCGATGTGTTTTTGTCCAGAAATACTTTATTTCAACGCAATCATGAAAAATATGGTTTTAATTACATTATTTCTGTTGATTTTCAATTTTGCAAAAAGTTACGTGATTCACAGAAATTGAAGGTTTCGAATCCTGGGAATTTGGAAATTTTACGTGATTCACAGAAATTGAACGTTGCAATTTCTGGGATTTTTCACAGAACTCGAACGGTTCGAGTTCTGGGATTTTGGAAATTCACGTGATTCACAGAACTCGAAGCTTTCAATTTCTGGGATTCTGGAAAAGCATGGGGGTAGGGATTCAAGAAGGGTCGTGATAAAGCAAAATGAATATTAGGAAACTATCGTTGGACTTGTTGTTTTCCATAAAACGGATCCTTCGAGCTTGAAGATAATTGTTTTCCATGGGAGCTCTATGTTGGCTGAAAAACTAGTTGAAAATTCTGAATCGTATTGGAAGGGTTGAAGTAAAAAAACATTTTTATTCGAAACTTACTATTTTCACATACAGTAATTTAGGATGAAAATGGTTGAGATGGTGGAAAAATGTTGTTCAAAAGCTATAAAAGATTCCACTTGATGTTTTGAAAAACTGGCAACACTGATTTTTAATGATTTACCGTCGAAGAAAACTGAAAAACTGAACGTCGAAGAAAACTCAGTTTTCTTCGACGGAAAATCAATAAAAATCCGTGTTGCCAATTTTTCAAAACTTTTTCAAATTTTCAAAACATCGCGTGGAATCTTTTATAGTTTATGAACAAAAATTTTCCACTATCTCGATCAATTTCATTTAAAAGTACTGTATGTGACAAAGGTAAGTTTTAAGCTTTGTATTTATATTTTTACTTCAACCCTTCCAATGCGACTCAGAATTTTCAACTAGTTTTTCAGCCAACAGAGAGCTCACATCGAAAAATTATCTTCAAGCTCGAAGGATCCGTTTTATGGAAAACAACAAGTCCAACGATAGTTTCCTAATATTCATTTTGCTTTATCACGACCCTTCTTGAATCCCTACCCCCCCCCCCCCCATGCTTTTCCAGAATCCCAGAAATTGAAAGCTTCTAGTTCTGTGAATCACGTGAATTTCCAAAATCCCAGAACTCGAACCGTTCTAGTTCTGTGAAAAATCCCAGAAATTGCAACGTTCAATTTCTGTGAATCACGTAAAATTTCCAAATTCCCAGAATTCGAAGCCTTCAATTTCTGCGCATCAAGTGTTCTTTTTTATCACCGAATAAATATATATTTCGCGTATCCAAAAAATTCTATTGCAAGTACAGGAATTACTACTCGAAAAGGCTTTATC